CCCCAAAACCCCAAAACCCCAAAACCCCAAAACCCCAAAACCCCTTCTACATATATTATTATTGAACTCTTTCAAAAGTCATGGCAAGATTTTTAGAGAAAGTGCTTACATGCTGAGGCTCAAGGGAATCTCATGATGAAAATCCTCCTTCTTCATACAGAGGATCTAATACAATTGAGGATAAAACTAGGAAGATTCCGATACGATCCAAGAAGCTTGAAATCGCAATAAACCAAGTCATAATAGAGAGATATGAAAATAAGAGCATTCCAAGAGAGAGCCTCTTGACTAGAGATTTCACAAGAGAATCTAAAACTATGAGGAGATTATTGGGAAATAGACAAAAAGAAGCATCTGAAGTTATCCAGGCAAAGGTCTAGAAGGGTATTACGTTGAACATAAATGAGCTGATTCATACTATTTAATCGATAGCGATTGGTGCAATCAGTGGAAGTAACTTCTTAAAAGGTAAAATTACCACTACTCCCTCAGCTTATGTTTCAAACTCATTTATTGAGGAGAAGTTAAAAGCTGGAGAAATATTAAAACACAGAACTGATTTTTATCTCATTGCTAATAATTCTGATTGGGAGCTATTCTCCCTGGATTTTTCATGAGGATGAAAAGTACAATTTAATTGATCCCCAAGAAATATCAAAACTAAAGAAGAAGTATGCTGAAGAAACCCATCGGATAAGCATAGTTCCTGAGCTTCCAAAGATTGCAGTTAACTCGGATAAAGAAGATCTCCAAGTATCTCCAAGAAAAAGCCGAAAACTTGAGAAAAAGCAACAGGAGGAAAATAAAAAGCCAACTACTCAGAAAAATAGCAAAAAAGCTGATGAGGAGCTTCCAAAATTCTTTGGATATGCTGAAGAAAATCAATCCCCAGAATTGAGCAGCAAACAAGCCTCAATCCACTCTTTTGGAGAGGAATCTGATCGTATTTCAGTCTCAAATCCCAAGTTCTTGAAAATGGGGATGGAGTCAAAACAGAGAGGAGAGGGCATTTCATCAGACGAGGAATGTAAATTCACAACTCCAAGAGATCAAAAAGAGGCAAAATCCAAGGAAAAGAATGATATTGAAAGTTATTTAACTCCATCAGTTCAGTATAAAGGAGGAGACTCAATGAGCAAGTCTAATACCAATCCAAAAAATTTAGGAATAGAGTCCTCAAAAGAATTTAGCATTGATGATGATAGTAGAGACCCTTTTGCAGAACCAGAAACAGCAGAAAATATTTTCAGCAAAACATACAGAAATACTGGCAGTTTTGCATTCAATGGAAAGGGCAGATTTTCACGAGTCGGAAGAGATCCAAGTGAAGAGCAGAAGAATATAAAAGAAAGGAACAGCTACAGATCAGGTTCCCCTGATAGATTCGAAGATAGATATCCTTCTTTAGAACTTCAGAAAAATATTGGATTAAGAAACCCTAAAAATGACTGTTTCATGAACGCATCTTTGCAGGTGATGTTCTCAATCCCTGAATTAATGAAGTTCTTTGCAACTAAGGAATATAAAAATGTATATTCCTTTGAGGAATGTAATAAAAAGAAAGCATACAGTTCCAAAGAAATGATACTTCCTGGCTATAAATATTGAAACGCAATGTCGAAACTTTGCCTTGATGTATGATCAAGCTTTAAAAAGGAGCTAGAAGCAACAGAGCTTAGAAAATTATTCAAGAAATCTTTCTCAAAATCCCACCAGCACGATGCCAATGACTTTATTTTATCATTGTTTAGTAAATTGCAGGATGAACAAACTTTGAAGAAGAGACCAGTTTCTGATAAGTTTGCGAATGAACAAGAAGCCTGGGAGCATTATGTAAAACACAACCCTTCAATAATAGACCAACTCTTCTTTGGAATGATCCAGAGAAGTAGCAGATGAGGGAGCTGAAAGAAGGTTGCTCATAGGTACGAATCTTTCAACCAGATCGAATTAGAATGTGAAAGTTCCTCCCTTGAAATGGCATATCAAGGCTTTCTTAGTGATGAGATTATGAAAAAGAATCAATCTTATCGTTGAGATGAGTGCCATAAAGTAGTTAAATGAAGAATCATGAAGGAAATCGTTAAAATGCCAAGATATCTATTCTTCCTATTCAAAAGGTTCAACTCTAATATGTCTAAAATCACGAAGATGATTAAATACCGAACCAAGATTCTTCTGGAAGACAAAATAGATGGTGGGCCTTTAGAGTATCATCTTCAGGGTATTATCCTTCATTCCGAAAGTAGGAGAGGAGGTCATTATATTTCCTATGCAAAGAAGGGTGATAACTGGATTAGGTTTAATGATGCCTCTTATAAACCAATAAAATCCAAGCATATCATTGATAAAGATGCATATATTTTACTGTATAAAAGAGCTTAAAATGTCCATAAATGTTCAACTTTTTGTTAAAATTGAGGGGTTTTGGGGTTTTGGGGTTTTGGGGTTTTGGGG